ATATTTCTGTCTTTGTTTGTTTAACATTGCAGTGCTGGTGGTGGAACCCAGTGTCTTATACATGCTACGTGAGTGCTCTACCACTGAGCCACATCCCTAGCCCCTACCAATGCTTTTTTTTTTGGTATGGGAATTGTTCTTTTCCTAGAAACTTTTCCTCCATCTCTTTAAACAATCTTGTTGTTACCCATGCCAGAATGACTTCTGGTAATGAGATTATTTTAAGCATCTTAGACAGAAATTGCCCTGAAAGTACCTGATTTCTGATTGTGCTGAACTCCATGTTGTGCCTGTTGCATAAGAGAGGCAACTAGGGCAGCTCTGACACATCTCACCCTGAGTGCTGGGTGCCTGGGGAAGGAGGAAGTCAGGTACAGATGTGTGAGAGCTCTGTTTCCCAGAGCCTCTGTCATGACAACCATACATTTATAATCTTGAACACACTCTTAGATTCAAAGTACCTACTTTTCTTGTGCCTCCCCAGTGTAGAAGCTCATGCCAACATGAGGAATTTTTTGAAATCATTATTCTGCCTACCACACACTCATGTTCATCAACTGAGGAATAAATAAAAGGTAGTCTATTTGTATAATTAATCTGCTATTATTCTTCAATAAAGAGGAATGAAGTACTGATACATACTACAGCATGGATGGCTTTTCAGAACATAATGCTAAACAAAAGAAGCCAATCATAAAAGGCTATAGGATTCCATACATATGAAATGCCCAGAATAGGTAAATTCATAGAGAGAAAAAGTAGATTCATAGTTTAGTCTACTTCTTAGGTAATGAAATGTAGGAAAACATTCATTATTTAATAGTGCACTCAGGGAAGAGTTCCTTTCCCTTGAATATAGTTTAGAATAAAATTGAAGCTTCTAGAATAAGTTATGCTCCACATTTGTATAATATGTCAAAATACACTCTAATGTCATGCATATCTAAAGAGAACAGATAACATATTGAAGCCACACGTTTAGAGCAGCTATTTGCAATCCATGACTTACTCATGATATGCTGCAATGTTGCTTTTCCCACACTCATGCTCTGGGCTTGTTCTAGGGTGAGAGTATGCTGGCCGCCTGCTACACTGCTTTAATGGGAAGAGGAAGGGACCAGACTTATGTCAATTATGTCTCCATCATGGTATGACATTGTATTGAGTATATAAATCCTCACTGCTAACCTACTTGTCAGACTGCCAGTTCTAGAATATTTTGTTAAATGAAACAGTTTTCCTGTTCTTCCATTTCACCAACTAAACAAAGATTTGTTCCTTTGTCAGATATCCCTGATTGCAATTAACTTTTTGTTTTGAAAAATAATCACCTCTTTTTAAAATTAAATGTTTTCATGAATCTTATGAATGTCAGTGACTTCCTTATGTCATGAAAGCCCCATAATTCAAGCTCCTTCAACAATGATTTTAGGTTTGTATTGTATTTTAACTAAAATTTATACCATATTTAACTGAAACCACCATGGGTTTTTCTGTGTCCTCTTATCCTCATTCCCTGGAAGAATAGGTTTATTAAATATAATTCATATACATAGAGTTCAACCATTTAGAGTATATAATTCAATGTTATTAGTATATGCTGGACTTGTGCAAACTTCACTACTTTTTTATGTACATCCCTTCCCACGTACACAAAAAGCCACAACTGTTATCATTGCACCCCAACCTCAGCCCTTGGAAGCTATTAATCTATTTTTTATCACTATGGATTTACCTATCCTGGATATTTTATATATATGAAATCATAGTCTTTTGTGATTGGCCTCTTGCATTTAGTATAATGTTCTAAAAGGTCATCCATGTTGTAGTATGTACCAATACTTCATTCATTTTTATTGCAGAATAAAAACTTGTTAATTATAGGAATAGATTACATTTGTTTATCCAATAGCCAATCTGCTTTTGTGGCAGGCAGAATAATGGTTCTCTAAAATGACCGTGTCCTAATCTTGGAATTGTAATATACCTTACTTTGCATGGCAAAAGGAACTTTGCAGATGTCTTTAAATAAGCAGACCACCACTTAAGGGGATTATACTGGATTATCTAGTGGGCCTCCTCTAATAATATGAGTCCATAAAGGTGGAGAACCTTTTGCACCTATAGAAGAAGCATCAAAGAGATGCATCACTGCTGGCTTTGAAAGTGGGGGAAGGAGACCATGACTTGAGGAATGCAGGTAGCATCTAGGAGCTACAAAAAGTATGGAGTGAGACCTGAGTAACTGTCAGATAAATTTGTATTGTTTCAGTTTATGGTAGTTAGTTCCAGCTGCAACAGAAAACTAATACAGGGTAGTTTCCACTTATTGGCTTTTATGAGTAATGCTGCTATGAATATTGGTGTCAGAGTATTTGTGTTGACATATGTCTTCATTCTTCTTGAGTATTTATTTATGTAGGAGTCAAATTGCTGGGTCATGTGATAACTGAATGGATAACTTTCAGAGGAACTACCAGACCGTTTTCTAAGTGGCTGCATCACTTTACATTCCCCAATAGCAGTATTTCCATTTCCCTCATCCTTACCAACACTGTCCTTTTGATTTTAGACATTCTAGTGGATGTCAAATGGTATCTCATTGGGGTTTTGATTTGCATTTTCCTGGTGACTAATGGAATTAATCTTCTTTTCAAGTGCTCATTAGCCATTCATATATCTTCTTTGTAGAAATGTCTATTCATGTCCTCTGTCAATTTTTTAAATTATTATTTTATTATTTTTTTTTACTTTATATATTCTGGATACAAGAACTTTATCAGATACGTGGTTAGTAACTATCTTCTTCCATTCTGTAGGTTGTATTCCGAGTTTTTAATTTTGATGAAGTCCAATTAATCTATTTTTTCTTTTATCTCTTGTGTTTATAGTAGGATATCTAAGAAACTAATCAGAAGTCACAACTGTTTGTGTCTGTCTTTTTCTAAGATTTTACAAGTTTCATCTCTTCTTCATCTGTTTAGGTCTTTGGTTCATTTTGTGTAAATTTGTGTATGCAGTATGAGGTAGGTGTCCAGCTTCATTCTTTTGCATGTGAAATCCAGTTTCTCCAGCATGGAAATGCAGTTAATTTCTAATTGAAATGTGAACCCCCAGGAGATTATATTCAGGTCCTTAGGATGCTCCTGGGCAGGCTGTTGCTGAAGCTCTGCTGCACATTTAGAACCTGCTGTGTTGGTGACAGCCTTTTCTGTCAGTTGTCTGCAGTGAAGAATGTGTCATAAGCTTCTGTTCCCATGTGGGTTGCCAGTACCTTGTTAAAAAGTTTGCAAAATATAGAATACCAAGGATACTTTTACTCAAAACCATTTTGTCATCTTTTCCTTCAGTTTTCCTTTCATTTCTGATGGTCCAGTGTTTTTCTACAAAAAATCATCATAAGAGTTGCTATGATTAGGAATAATGCCAAACAAAGATTTTGGTATTAACTTACCTCTCTACTCTGCTCAACTCCTTAGTTTCCCAGAAATAATTGTGTATACCAGGGTCACATTGCATTTTCTTCCTCATTCTCTAGTGTCTTTATGTTATGCTTCCCAAGAAGATTTTTTTTTCTCATTTGTCCTTAAGTCAGGGATGGCTCTATATCATCCTATTTATCTATGACAGGATGACCGTGGGAAGTAGCATAGGTCTGATTTAGAATGTCACCAAAATTAAGCACTTCTCAGATTACCCCCAGGATCCATTATCCCCAGAGACCTTATTTCTTAAAGGATGGTTCATGGACCTCTTACTGGACTGTATTTAAAAATCCAAATGATTTACCTAATGTGTTGCTCTTGGTAATTAAGAACCGGTGCCTTATGGTGATCAGTTTAAGATGAAATACAATAGTAACAGTAGTCACAAAAGTAATAGTAATAGTTGTCTCTTGTTTTAATAGTGAAGGAGTCTGAACTCTTTAGTATGAGTGTAGAATCTGTGTAACTCAGCAGAGCATCAAGAGCAAAGGCTCTTGGAAACCTCACTTCTACCACTACCAGGAGGAATAGATCAGAGTATAGTTCTGAACCATAGTTGAAATGAAAGAATTTGCAAAGCCATCTCATTTGTTCTTTTATCTCAGAGTAATAATTTTTATTCTATCTCTGTTGAGGTTGTTACAGGGATACCAGGAGCTCCAAGTCTGACCCCTACGGATAGTAATGATGTGAAATGCAACTGTGTTTTTGTTAAGCTCTATAAAACATGAAAAATTGTCCTCATCTGTGATGCCTCTCTTGCTCCTTGAAAAAGACAGTGTTGACCCAAACTTCATGATAAATAACTTTGGATAATAATGGTGAAAGCTGAGGGAGACTAATGTTTTGCTTCACAGAAATTCTGCTGCCTGACACTTGTGTATTTGAAACAGTCAAGAAAATAATTTGCTGAAAATGAGCAAAAACTGTTAAGCTAAGAGCTACATCCTTTGGAAACATATGAGTGAAAAACTGAAATGCTATCATGCCAGCTCATAAATCTTGATCCATCATTACAAACCTTCATCAGAAAATTATTCATACATCCCCCTTCTAATGTGAATTTTAAATGCAGAAGTTTAAAAAGGGGAGAGTCTTTGTGACAACAGATAGACAAGGGAAAGGATAAACATGTGAGGAGAGTGAACAGTGTGCACACAAGGGATATTGGAGGGGGTCGTGGTGGGGGGTCCTGGCACAGAGGATAGTCACATATGGTCTCTTAATTGAGGTAGGAATGGGGAGGACAATATAGTCAGCCTGTCTTTGAAGGTTTGTTATTGTCACAAGATCATTGATTTTTCTTCCTTTGACTTATTAAGGACAGGATAAAAATCATTACATTAGTAACATTTTGAAGTTTGTTTAAAAGAAGAAAACAAAAAGCTCTCCCCTTAAGATTCAAATATCACATCTCAGTCTTGTGATTGAGAATATGTAAGATGGTGCTGTGCATATTAATAACAAAATGGTATTAATCTGTCATACTAAAAATAAGCACAAGCACAACCAACAACCACTTTAAAATATATTTCCTGATCCAAACTTGGAAAATAATCCTGGGATGACAAATGATTAATTAGAAATATGTCGACCTCAGCCACCGGAGATGAAGGTACCTGTAAGATAAAATCCACAAGAAATTAATTTTAAATAACTTCATTTCTCATATCATAGTGGCATTTTTTCTGATACCAACTTTAGTATTTATCATCAAATGACAGTAAAAGATGATGCATAATTCAGAAAGCCTGAATTGCTGAATAATGACACAGGGACATCAAAAACAAGGTGTAACAGAGGAAAGGGAAGCACCACCCTGCCTATCCAATCCTTCCCCATATCCTCAAACCTTCCCACCCTTCCTTGGAGAAGAAACAATCTTTTTCCATATCCTGGTAACCTCTTTACCCCATTTCCCCTTCCTTGGTCAAGGTTTCTTGAGATTATTCAGATGTGAAGCAAGGTAGCAGCAGGGTTTTTCCAAAGACTCTAAAGATTTCATCTCTCATTGTTTTTAATTGACGTCTTTAAAACATGAGGTTAAACATGGAAATTATATATAATAGCAAAGCAATTCACTTTTCAAATTGACTGTTTAAAAAATTCCCCTTGAAATCTAATTGCTTTATGGATTTTTCCTCCCCTTCCTCTCAATATACCTGAATTACAGTTCTCAATGGGGGTTACAGACATTCTATTTTCAGTGTTAGTCCTGGACACTAACAAAGATAATCCATTCTTTTTAAGTGGTCTTTGCTGATGTTGCTAGGGTTGTGGCCCTTCAGCAAAGAAGGGATAATTCCTATTTGGCCCGTGAAGAAATGAATGAAATAGTTGAACTGCTATTTTTTGTTAGAATCCACTCAATGGAAATTCTCCTGTTCAGCATGAGTTTCAAACCATTTAATGATTCTGAAATTACACTCAATCTCCTGGCATTATAAGTGTTGGCAGCATTAAAATTGGGCATATAACTCAGAATTGCAAAGAAGATATTATATAAATTAAAAGACGTCAGATCTCGCCCATCTTTCATGGTGTGGTGGCGCATGCCTGTAATCCCAGTGGCTCAGGAGGCTGAAGGAGGAGGATCATGAGTTCAAAGCCAACCTCAGCAACTTATTGAGGTCTTCAGCAACTCAGTGAGACCCTGTCTCTAAATAAAATACAAAACTGGGCTGGGATGCAGCTCAGTGGTTAAGAGCCCCTGGGTTCAATCCCTGGTACCAAAACAAAAAAACTCCTGAAGTCTCAATTCATCTAGTGTTGTCTTCTGGAAAAATTCATAGTGAAAGACCAATGCTATAGTGAAATAGGATAAAATAAATTGCTAAGAAAATGAAATGAGACAAGTTCATATTTTTTAAAAAGTATTATCAGATTCAACTAACATAAAATTACTTTGTCCACATTCCATTAAAGTCTCTAAATAGTCTATCTCAATTTTTGTGTGAAGAACAATACCACATAGCATGGTCTGTGGCCCACACTTTTGAGTGGCATTAATGTATTGTGCTCACATTTATTCACTTGTACCTGGGGCCATTCCAAGTCATCTTGTGCTTTTAACAAATTGTTGTTTATGCCTTTGGGTAAATTGTGCACTTAAAATAAGACATGTGATTTTTAAATGGATAGAAGTTCATCTAAATTGTGAACTCCTATACATTGTTAAATGGTCACAGGAGATTTTAACAATTATTTGTTGAACACTACTTGCTGTATTTTATATATTTTTAGCATTTATTTTCTTTCATCCCATTATAAAACCTCACCCAACCACCTCTCCATCTCAAGGCTAAATGGTGTTTGAATTATTTAATTATTAAAGCTAATGTGGGATTCTGGTTTTGTTTAAAATTGAAAGGAAGAGGTTGCTTAAAAGACTATAGGAAAATAATCATGCTCTATTTTAATCTCGCTCAGATTTTAAGCAGTTAAAACCTTTTTAATTTCATGAATTTCTTATTAAGATGGGGTACTTAGAAATACAGTGTTAGTTATGTAGAATAACAGCTTGATGGGAGCCTGTACTGAATAGATACCATCTGCCACTGGTAGTTATGTTAGCTTCTCTCTTCTGTTGTACAAGTTGAACAAAGTGGTCATGTTTAAGGTGGAAAGGACTCATGGGCACACTGATTATCTCACATGTTTGGAGAGCTACCATGTGAAATCAGAAAGTTGAGTAACTGACTGGAGATCACACAGAATAATGGAAAGCAACAGAGAGGCTGATTTCCATTCAATGAAATGGTTTCCAAACATGAAAAACAAGGAGGAACTGAATAACTTTCCTGGTATTTTTCAACTATGAACTCTTCTGCAGGTGAAGCTCCTAGGGATGATAATAGGAAAAAGAAAAAAGATTGGAATACTCAGAAATGGAGGAGTCAGCCCCTTGTGGTTGGGTGCAGGGACTGCCAAGCAGCACTGCCAGTCAGGTGATGCTACTGGAGAGAGTACTAGTGCTTTGGAAGCAGATTGGTCTGTATGATGGTGAAGGTGTTTTCGAGCTTTGAGGAGGTAAAGTGGCAGTTCTGGTATCTGTAATGGAGACATCTTACTGCATTTTTTCCCCTTAATTATGAAGTAGTCTAAACCTATAGAAAAGCACACTCAATTCTGCTAGTACACATGTGTACCCGTTTCTCTTTGTCTCTTTGATGTTAAAGATACACCTAAAGGCTCAACACCACCATTCTATCCTTTTCACTTCTTTCCTTCCCAGAGGTATCCATTGAGTTGCTCAGGAACTCTCTTCTGTTTGTCCTTAGGTCCCTTTTTTGTGGAAAATTTTAATTTTACTTTCTGACTTTTTTCACACTCATGGAAACTCTGGGTGATGGTAGTTATCTTAACATCTCTGATATTAATAATTGAGATAGAAATAGAAGGTTTGAGGGCTTTGCTAGGACTTAAGTTGTTAAGTGCTAGTGACTATCATTTATATGTGTTTTCTAGTCCTGCCATCTCCTCACTTATATAAAATTGTGCTAAGTTTACCCTGATTGAAGACACATATTTTAATGCCAAGAATTCTATGTATAACTTGGCTCATAGTAAGCAGACCAAACAGGACTAGATGATGATAATCATAATGCATTCATACATATGATATTTTTTATTCAGTTCTTTCATCCATTTACTAGGTCAGTGTTTAAAGGACATTCTATGGGCCAGCCATTGTTTAGCCTTTTGGGATACCAACCCTGGGTAGACAAAAAAACCCTGCTTTCATGAAACTTACAATCTAATTGTGGGAAGAAATCAAATATGTCAGATGAGGAAGAAACACTTTAACTATAATTGCTGTAGGTGATAAGGGAGTATGGATTGAGGATATGGTCAGTATTGTATTTGGGGTATTTGGTGAAGGCCTTCTAATGTGGAAATATTAGGAAATATGGGGACAAACTACAGATGTCAAGGGAAGAGAAATCTCAGGCCCAGCAAGTACACAGGCCTTGAAAGGAAGCATGCCTCATACAGGACCACACACTGATTCTTAAAACAATTCTGTGGTACAGCTAATGAGTTTGCTTTTTAATTGAGGAAACTGAGGCAAATAGGCCACACTCAAGGCCACACTTGCTAATTGGTGACAAATTCAGGACTATCATGTCTCCTGGATTACAGAATATTGTCTTTTTAAGACGCAATGATTTTATTTTCTAATGCACTAAGAACATGGTTTGATCTTACCTTTATATTTGAATCTTTGGTTGAAGTGAATAAACTTCTTAGAAACCAGTTCTCTTATATAGAGAAACTATACATTTTATAGATATCAGGTTGCTGTGAGAACCAAGAGGGCAATGTGGACCTAGCCCTGGGAATAGTAAAGTACCCCACAAATGTGTTTTGCTAGATTGTTCCTGCAGCTTGGCCCTGATTGGCTAGCCTGGAGGTTGTAAATCAAACTATCCAAGGCTGAGCCAACATACCAATGTGCAGCACTTTTGATTCCATAGATGCCCATCCCTGATGTTTCAAGAATCATAGAGGTAAAATTAAATGCAGTTTTGAACAAATTTAGAAGTACTTCAATAACTGCATCTTCTTTCCTGCTTGTCCTTAAAGATAACACAGAAATGTAAATATGGCTTGATTTATTTAACTGGCACAAATTCTACTACTGTGTATTTTACCTATTTCTATTTTGAGAGCATTTTCCTTTGTGCTTTCTTGTTTCCTTTTATGTTCTGCCAAATCCCATTAACTTGTCCTTGAGCTGTGTAATCTAGAGTTTAGCTACTGGTGAGTGATGGGGTACACCTGAAGGGGAGACCTGACTGCAGGGAGTAGCCAACTCTTTTTGCAAGTTCTGTAGCTCAGCCTGGCCCCTGACTGCTTGAGGGCTATTGGATGGTGAAAGCAGCCGCTGGTTTGACAGTCCTGGTACAAGCTGAGCATCGTGAAGAAATTGGGACAAGTTTTAGGTCTGAGTAGTGGAGGAAGGATCATTGGTGGAAGCAGGCCTCAGTGAGAGCTTTGCAGGCAGAAGGGACAAAAATTCCTAATTGTTTGATATGGCTGAGGAAGCAAGGAAGATCAGTGAATTTTGAAGCACAGTGGGAGTGGAAAAGAAATGAGAGTGAGGAAGCAGAGGCATCCAGATCCATGACAGCCATGATCTAGGGTGTAGATTTTTTTTTTTTTTTGGTACCAGGGATTGAACCCAGGAGCACTCAAACACTCAGCCCCAGCCCCAGCCTTTTTTTGTTTTTTATTTAGAGACAGGGTCTCACTGAATTACTTAGGACCTTGCTAAGTTGCTGAAGCTGGCTTTGAACTCGAGATACTCCTGCCCTAGCCTCTTGAGCACCTGGAATTACAGGGGTCTGCCACTGTGCCTGGCCTAGGACTTAGATTTTATCATGCACACAATGAGACACAAAGAACAGGTTTTAAGCAAAGACATGACATATTGAATGTCACATTCTGGCTACCATGAAGATAAATGGGGTCAGAGAATACAACACATGGATAGCTTTGCAGAGATCTACTTGTGATACAATATGATGGTGTCTTGTGAAAGTGGAAGCCAGAGTAATGGGATCAGTGTTGGGTTCAAGGTATACATAGCAGTGACATTAACAAATCACAAGATGGA